GGTGTCACCAACCGGGTCCCCGCAGTGTCACCAGGGTCCCCGCGGTGTCACCAACCGGGTCCCCACAGCATCACCAGGGTCCCTGCGATGTCACCAACCGGGTCCCCACAGTGTCACCAGGGTCCCTGCGGTGTCACCAACCGGGTCCCCACAGTGCTGCCAACTGGGTCCTCGCAGTGTCACCAGCCAGGTCCCCACGGTGTCACCAGGGTCCCCACGGTGCCACCAACTGGGGTCCCTGCAGTGTCACCAGGGACCCCACGGTACCATTGGGATCCTCATGGTGCTATCAGGGTCCCCGTGGTGTCACCAGGGTCCCCATGGTGCCACCAACCGGGTCCTCGTGGTGCCACCAGGGTCCCTGCAGTGTCACCAACAGGAGTCCTCATGGTGCCATCGAGGTCCCTGTGGAGCCACCAGGGTCCTGGCAGTGCCACCAAGGTCCCTCTGGTGCCATCGGGGTCCCTGTGGTGCCATTGGGGTCCCCATGGTGCCATCACCTGGGGTCCCTGCGGTGTCACCAACCGGGGTCCCCACAGTGCCAGCAGGGGCCAGTGGTGTCACCAGGGTCCCCGTGGTGCCATTGGGATCCTCATGGTGCCACCAGGGTCCCTGCAGTGCCACCAAACTGGGTCCCTGTGGTGTCACCAGCCAGTGTCCCTGCGGTGCCACCAGGGTCCCCATGAGGCCACCTAATGGGGTCCCCCGTGGTGCCACCACCTGGGGTCCCCATGGTGCCACCAACTGGGGTCTCCATGGTGCCACTGAGGTCCCTGGGGTGCCACCGGGGTCCCTGCAGTGTCACCAGGGTCCCAGCAGTGCCACCAGGGTCCCTATGGTGCCATCGGGTTCCCTGTGGTGCCACTGGGGTCCCCACAGTGTCACCAACCGGGTCCTAGTGGTGCCACCAACCGGGGTCCCTGTGGTGTCACCTGGGTCCCTGTGGTGCCACCAGGGTCCCTGTGGTGCCATTGGGGTCCCCATGGTGCCACCAGGGGCCCCACAGTGCCACTAACTGGGGTCCTCACAGTGTCACTGGGGTCCCTGTGGTGCCATCGGGGGCCCTGTGCTGCCACCAGCCGGGTCCCCAGGGTGCCACCAGGGTCCCCACGGTGTCACCAGGGTCCCCGCAGTGGCACCAACCAGGGCCCCCACGATGCCACCAAGGTCCCTCTGGTGCCATTGGGGCCCCTGTGGTGCCACCAAGTGGTGTCCTCACAGTGCCACCAACCAGAGTCCCTATTGTGTCCCCAGGGTCCCCGCGGTGTCACCAGGGTCCCTGTGGTGCCATTGGGGTCCTCACAGTGCCACCAGGGTCCCCACTGTGTCACCAGGGTCCCTACAGTGTCACCAGGGTCCTCATAGTGCCATTGGGGTCCCTGTAGTGCCACCAGGGTCCCCATGGTGCCACCAAGGTCCCTCTGGTGCCATTGGGGTCCTCACAGTGCCACCA